GTGCGGCCCTGCTTCGTGTAGTTGAGGATCTCCGCGCGGACCGGCCCGCCGGTGGAAGCGGCGTAGATACGGTCGCGGAAGTCGGCCGCGACGGCGGGCTCCGTGCACTCGCCCTGGAGGATTTTCGGCGTGAGGCCGATGGCCTCGGCGGCCCGGAAGCCGCAGAGGTCGCTCCAGTGCTTGGAGCACGCGACGATGTGGTTCGGGTGGTCGATCTCGCAGAGCACGACGCACCGGTCGCTCGCGCCGGCGACGAGCTCGCCGAGGAAGAGGTTCTGGGCACTCTCGAGGCCGTCGATCATCGTCTCGATCTGCCGCTGCGTCTCCAGCAGGGCCGCGGCGTGCGCCGCGCTCACGGCCATCGATTCGCTCTTGACGATCTGGTGGTTCTGTTCGATGAGGAACTTGTTGCGGAGCGGCGGCGACGACCGGCTGCTGTCCTGTCTATCTTGCAACAACATGGCGGGCACGGCGCGCGAGCTGCGGGCACCGACTGGCGATGGTGGACCGGCTGCTGCAGGCGACGTAGAGACAAGGCGAATCGTCGAGGTACACAAGCTGGCTTTGCTCCGCCTGGCCCGTCCGCAGAATGGCCGAAAGTTGAACCACATTCAACAAGGAGGCACCGAAGCCAAAAGATCCGACACCATGACGGGGTGGGTGGGTGGGCCCGGGGGTCGGGTTTCAAAAACCCGAAGTGTACTTAAAGGGTACTTGTAACGCGCGCGCGCGCGCATGGAGGCCGCGCGCGTCCCGGGAGTCCCGCGTCCCGCGCCGCGCCAGGAGAGGCCTCAGGAGCCGGGAGGAAGTGCATGGGCCACGGCGGTGTCCTCGTCGAGTCGGGCCGCGCCCGGCACTAGTGCCCGGCGTTCGTCGGCTGACCCGCGGCTGCATGGTGGCGGCTCCTGCAGCGGCACCGGCGACTCCCGGTCGAACCGCGGCGCCGCGCGGTCCCGCGCGCGCGATGCGGCAACTTGAAGGCAACCAACGAAAAAGGAGCTCGCTGATTGGTCGGGAGGTGGGTGGGTGGGCGCCGGTCGCCGGCACCAAAAATCCGTCATGGTGTCTGGCATTTTTTTTGGGGGCGCCTCCTGCATTCAACATGAAGCTGACTTTGCCTTTTTTTTTTCGCAACCTCCTTAG